CCGGTGTATCAGAGAGTAGCTGTATCTAAGGGGTTCTAGTGTATCAGAGAGTAGCTGTATCTAATGGGTTCTGGTGTATCAGAGAGTAGCTGTATCTAATGGGTTCTGGTGTATCAGAGAGTAGCTGTATCTAAGGGGTTCTGGTGTATCAGAGAGTAGCTGTATCTAAGGGGTTCTAGTGTATCAGAAAGTGACTGTATCTAATGGGTTCTGGTGTATCAGAGAGTAGCTGTATCTAATGGGTTCTGGTGTATCAGAGAGTATTTGTATTTGTGTTGTTACGGAAGAGAAGACGTTTATTCTCAAACGCTGCTCTTGTGACAACTCATAATACATGATGACTGTTACGTGGGTTTCTAATGAATAACTCATGTACGGAGATTCACTGTAGGCTATGGTTTGTCACGTGCTATAGAGATTCGAACTGTTTTTGGTTGTTGTTATTTTTTAAGGTAAGTTCCGATCATGCGTATTTCCACATATTTCATAATCTCGTACCCAGGATTCAAAAGACGAATGAGAAAGGAACAAGGAAGAGGGAATTCTGGCAGATATTAATTGAGGGAGGGGGGGGAGAAATTATAATGTGGTTGCTGGGTTTCTGAATGTTCTCATTCGCCCAGAAAGGTATCGATCACGAGCTGCAGTTTAGGCTAGATCTCGAGACCGGAGAACACGTTATTTACCGTGTAACACGCGGCCCCTGCCAGAACGAGGCCCGTGCCTGGAGAAATAGACACAAACTTCCAGACACGCCCGAGATCACGTTGTTAAGAAGGCTGATAAAATAAGGAATTTTTTGAGCCTACAAACGAAGTATCGTTTTATTTCTCCGATTTTTGAAGTGTCTTGGTGCAGATTTGACTAAAAGTCAAACAATAGTATCTTCTAAGTTATTATAATCGTAGTAGTGATAAATGTTCTTTGACGGGGTTGCAGCAATACACGTACTATAACTGTCTTTATCTCCAAACATCTCTTTGATTTAGTGACTTTAGCTTCTATCCTATATCACTAAAAGCTTCACTGTCAGGTTATTACATCCTTCTTGACTGTTGTAAGAATCACTACTGGTAAGTTTTCATCCACTAGATTCGTTTCGCGCATGATCACTCTAACTACAATTAATTAGAAACCGATCTTTCAGACTTTTAAAGTACCTTTTTTCCATACACTTAGAAACCGATCTTTCAGACTTGCACAGTAGCTTTTACATAAATCACATTCTTAGCTTCGTCGAATAGACTCCGAAAACATAAACTAAAATGAGAGGTGATTTCTGTGATCATTAAAACCTGTGAAAACTACACTCCTCTGTTATGTATTTAACCTTTTACTTATGCACGGTTCAGATTGGCCATTGAGAGTCACGTGGCCAATGGGGAGTGCCAATTTAGAATAATGTTCTATTAAAAGTTTTCCAGGAGTGCGCTACCGTCATAATTCATCAAAATTGCGTGGAATATTGGACACAATTATTTACTGTGCTACAAATCACGGCGAATAAATGAGCTCGTATCAGTTTGTCAACTGTTACGGCCAGCGAACGCAGGAGACGCCGGTCCAGGTTTACTACACCCCTCAGGTGCCGGCTTACAACAGTTGTTATAGCGGCCCAGCGTCTCCTGTCCAGCACTATGGACCTTATTCTCAACCTACAGTTCCACACCTGCAGAATGGGGATCAAACGCATTTTAATAGTTGCAGTCAGCGTCTCAGCCACCCTAATCCCAGCCCGAGTCCGACACTATCGGTGACACCGGTGCCGAGCTGCAAGTACGCAGAACCCAGCGCGGCATCACCGCAAGACCTGACTACGACTTCCAGTTCACAGCAGCCGTCTCCTTGCAGCCCCAAGCCGCGAAGTTCGCCTCAGCCTCCGCGGCCTACTCAGTCACATTCAACCAGTGGACACTCTCCAGGTCAACAACAGAGTTCACAATTACAACAGAATCAACCAACAGAAAAAAGCCAACAGAAAGGGAGTGAGTCAACAAATCAGCCTCATATTTACCCTTGGATGACTAAAACACACGTCGGACAGAGTAAGTATTTTCTTTCCTCTATCTTGTCCTTGGTGAATCTCCTTTCAGGGTAGAGCTTAAGCAGTGTGAGCGCGCACGAGATTCGTGGCTACTTTTCTAAGTTCGTAACTGCAGTAAATATTCCTCGGCCATGTGCTGTCAGGCCCGATTTCTCCTCCCTTCGCCCATAAAACGCGCCACGTTAGTCCTATAAAACTTTCCGCGAGGCCATAACTTTGTCACTTTCTTGACCCAAGGCTAACAGATCCTAGCCATAAAATAGAACGAGTCGTAGAACGCCCAGCCCTATTGAAAAGACAGTTTTATTACGGCTATAAAACCTGACGTAGCCCAGCTAGGAATAACAATAGCGGGGAGGAATCTGACACCAGAGAGAGAGGTAAATAGTTACTGCTTGATGCATACTTGTAATTAGGCAGACATTCTGACGTATGTATAAAAGTTTTTAATTATAACAGTTGAAATTGTTATGAAATAGTATTGAAAGAGTTATATATTATGTAAATTTTTCTTTCAAACACACATTTCCAGATGGAGTAAATGCGATGGGTGAAACGAAACGTCAAAGAACATCGTATACTCGCTACCAAACCTTGGAATTAGAAAAAGAATTTCATTTCAATCGTTATTTGACTCGACGCAGAAGAATAGAGATCGCCCACGCCCTCTGTCTCAGTGAACGACAGATTAAAATCTGGTTCCAAAATCGAAGAATGAAGTGGAAAAAGGAGCACAAAATGGCCAACTCAGTTCCTCCACAGATTCCTCATCACCAGGTTATGGTTAACACAGTTCATGGCTTGAGGGATTACACGTATAATAACAGTGTTTATTAAACAGTTGTAAGTTCATGGTTTGAAGGATTACACGTATAGTAATAACAGTGTTTATTAAACAGTTGTAAGTTAATGGCTTGAAGGATTACACGTATAGTAATAACAGTGTTTATTAAACAGTTGTAAGTTCATGGCTTGAAGGATTACACGTATAATAACAGTGTTTATTAAACAGTTGTAAGTTCATGGCTTGAAGGAT